CCTCCCCCTCCCCCTCCCCCCCAATGTTCGAAGGTGGCGGTGGGTCTGATGGGTTGCACCTCGACCGCAGCCTCCCCCGCGCGTGCCAAGCTTGAGTTCTTGGGGGGAGGGGGAATGTTCAATAATTGTTTCCCTACCGTCCGGCCTCGTTCTGAGGCTGCGCCCCCCCCTCCTCCTCCCCCTTCTCTGCGCAATTCAAGCTTCGCGCGGCCCGCTCCGCTTCGACCGGAAGAGGTGCGCTCTCGACCCGCGAATCCGAAAATCGTCTCCCTCTGCCGTCGCTCAAACTCGAGCGATCGGCCGTTGCCGGCACGTCAGATCCTTCGACATCGACCGACTCTGGGTCGCTGGTGGCGTTCCACCCTGAACGCCGCCGGCGGGGCCGCCGCCGGGCGACACGACGCGAACCTACCGTACATTGGGCCCAGGCCCTCCCCGAGAATCACACGAGGCGTCTTGAAGCAGGAAGGGACCTCCTCCTCCTCCTCTTTGTCCTCCTCCTCCTCCTCCTCCTCCTCCTCCTCCTCCTCCTCCTCCTCCCCCTCCTCCTCCTCGTCCTCCTCCTCCTCCTCCTCCTCCTCCTCCTCCTCCGGCAACAAAAGCACATGGCGTCTTGAAGCAGGAAGGCGCTTGAAGCAGGTTGGGACCTGGGAGCCCCAAAAGTACCTACTTTCAACGACCGGCGCGTATGGGAAAATCAAGACCTGGGATGTCTGGGGACACCGCAGACTGTCCACAGGAGCCTCCGCGCCGAATCGACCTGCGAAGATAGAAGAGGAGACAACTACCTAAACGCAAACTTTCGGTGCTCCGCGCAGATCTCTTGGATCTGCGCTGGACCTCCCTCCTTGGCGCGCGGCGCGCGTCAGGGGGGGCGCCGGAGGCGCCGCCAAGGGGGCCCAGCGCAGATCGAAGACATCCTCGCGGAGTATCGACACTGCGTGTTTACGCTTTTTTTCCCTTCGAATTGAACATGTTCCCCAATGTTTTCTTCGGAGTCTCCGCGCAGGGCCCGTTTACAAGGGCGCCAGGCCTCGAATGTCCGCAGCAGAGCAGAGCAGCCGCCCACCATGGCCTCTCGATGATTCCAGAGATCGGATGAGGAGGAGCGGTGCGAAGAGGGTCGGCGATTCCCTGGCATCGGTTCTCTTCTCGTTGTCGCATGCTCACCATGGTGTTGCCAGGTCGGTCGCAGTCTTGCGTGCGATATCAGCACGTCGGAGGGGGCGTGGGCAGCCCTTGGGCATTCTCAAGCTCAAACTATGACTTCTGGGGAACAGCTGCAAGATCCGATGAACCGGTGTGGTACTGTAAAAGTGCACTTCGGTGCAACCGTTCCCATCAGCGCGGCCTTCACCTCGTGGTACGCGACGCATGTAAAATCAGCTGGCTGCGCCTGTGTATTTGTTTCGACGTTCGTCGCCACAGCAACGACAAAATCTAAATCAGGAAAATACGTCGTTTGTGACTGATATCCGTATGTATCGCCGACATGACCATAAGCCTCCCCGTCTCCAATCGACCAATCGAGACTGAACGTTCCCATACCGTAGAACTTGAACTTCTGCCCCCATGTCGCTGGCGCCGTAAAATCAATCATATGGGCAAGCGATTCGGCGGTAACGATGCTGGGCTTGTCTTTGTTCCAGAGGTCGTACGAGAAGCGCGCCACATCTAAGACAGACCCGACGTAATTTCCAGCGGTCCAGCCACCCACGCAACTCACATTCCAAACATCTTGGGGTGGCAATTTTGCGGTCGAGTAGGATTGCATAAAGCCATGTACAGGTGTGTGGTCCTGACATGTACCGGACGTGACAAATTGAGATGCGCCAAAAGCTTTCCGGAATGCTTCAGGGATAACGCTAAATTGGTCGTAGCCTTGCCACGACCATGTGCTCCCAGCTTTGTGGTAATGGTTCGCAAGGATGAGGCCCAGTAGAATATAGTTTGTGCTGCAATAGCTCTGCCTCGCCCCTGGCTTGTGGTACATCGTAGGGCTCACGTACTTGCCAATGATCTCAACGGGTCCAAAGTCCTTAGAGCGGTCTGCAAACTGATCTCGTGCATACGCTTCGCCGTCGTAGTCAGATATGCCAGAGGTCATATGCAGTAAATGCTGGACCTCGACAGCATCAATCGAAGAGCCGAAGTGCTGGGAAAGTGTTGTCCCATTCAGGTGCTGCAGAATTGGATCGATGTGCTGTGCTATGGGGTCAGTGAGAGAGACTGTGCCCTTCTCCACAAGCTGCAATATTGCAGCAGCTGTGAACACCTTGGTCACTGAGCCCCATACGTACAAATCATCAGGACGGGCATGGCGAATCGGTGTGCCTAGTCCTAGTCCCGCGTCGGTGCGGCCAGCTGCAACAGATACGTTGAGTTTCGGCGTGAAATAGGAAGCGGCAATGCTCATGTCGTATTTGGACTGCATGGTGTTCGCGACACGCTGCAACACAGCAGTGAGGTCATCGGCAGTGACACCAGAAACACACCGAGCACACGCGAGCAGCATAACAAGAACGAGCCACGACATGCTGGAACCACACTGAGATGCGCTTCTTTGCGGCCGCGCCCTGTATCCAACATTCCCTGCCTCGAGTCAACATGGCCACGAACATTCCGCAACGGCCTCGCTGGCCGCCTGTGGGGTCCCACAAGACTCAACCGGCAATGCCACTCGGGCCGCCAAACGCGGCGGCCTCGTTGGCAGCTGGCCGGGCCCCCAGATGACCGATACGATCGGGAACTGCTACCGAGCGAGTCGTGGCGGCGGCCCCGGCGACACGCCATGCCTTGCGAGCGGATAGCGTGTCGCTCCGCTCTGCGGGTCGGGAGGCTCGGGAAGGCTCGGGGCGTGGACGCTTGGGACTGGGAACGTGGATAGCGTGTCGCGCCGAAGCGCGGTGGGCCCGAACTGGCGGAGCGGCACGCTATCCGACAAGTCCTGGCCGTAAATTTCCGCGGGGGCCCTGCTGGCCGCCGGTCGGGCCCTGCAGCTCTTCTTCTTGAGTGACTCTGGCGACCCCCAGACGCGCTCGACGAAACTTGCAAAAACCTCGCAGGAGCCCAAAACTCCTTGATAATCTCTTCCCCTCCTCCTCCTCCTCCTCCTCCTCCTCCTCCTCCTCCTCCTCCTCCTCCTCATCTACAGCCGGAAATATTGAAAATGTTCTGGTGAACGCACTATCCGGTGGAAGCCATGATTGGGGATAGTCGAGCGGTTTTGGTACTCGGGTTGTTCTCCGACTTGTTTTCTCCGAGCACCCCTATATCGACTAGGGTCCACGTTTTGGCGCAGCAGCTTGTGCGTCTCGCTCTGCTCCCCTCCTCCTTCCTCTGCTCTCCGCGTGCCCATTTTGGCACACCGCACGTTTCGTGGCCTCAAAGGAGCTCTGCCGAATGCCCCAATGGCTGCGTTCGCATACCGTCCCCCCCGTCCATTTCGCCCCCCCTCGAAGGGAGCTTCACCAAAGGCCCCAGTGGCTGCGTTCGCATAGCGTCCGCAGTCCTGGCTCAAGCCGCTCTGGCTCAAGAGGGCCGCAGTGGCCCCTGCCGCGGGGCAGGAAGTCGCCCCCGACCTCATGCTTGCCCGCGGGGACCCGGAGAGGGCCTCTTGCTTCCCAGCCCCCGCCTCCCGCGGCATGACCGCGCTTTCTGCCGGCGGCCTGACGGGCGCCGCCCTCCGACGGTGCTGCTGGCCCTCCGCCGCGGGCTGTCCGTGGCCCAGCGGCGCCGCTGGCGGTGGGGTGCCCCGCGCTGGGCGCGGCGGCTGCTGCTGCCACTGCCGTTGCCGCCTCGTCTGCGGTGGCCTGGGCGGCGGAGGGCGGCGGCCCCGCCGCTGCTGCTGCTGCTGCTGCTGCTGCTGCTGCTGCTGCTGCTGCTGCTGCTGCCGGCGCTTTCGGTGCCGCAGCGGCGGCGGCGTCGGCGGGCTGCGGTCCCGCCGCTGCTCCCCGCGAGGCGGCATGGGCCGCCGCCGCACGCGCACGCGCACAGGCACACGCACACACGACGCACACGCACACGCTGCACACGCACAAATGCATACACGCCCCCCCCCACACACACATTCACACACGCACACACGCACACACGCACACGCACACGCGCACACGCGCACATGCGCACAAGGGCACACGCGCACGCGCGCGCACACACACACACGCGTACACGCACAAGCACACGCACACACTCACACACACACACACCCACACCCACCCACACAAACACGCACACGCACACACAAATAGTTACACACACACGCACGCACGCACGCACACACAAGCACACACACACGCACACACTCACACATGAAACACACAAGCTATATACAATTCACAACACACAACTCACAACACACACCACACAACACACAACACGCAATAAACAACACACACACACACACACTACACACCACACACACACACACACACTACACACGACACAACACACAACACACAGCACACAGCACACAACACAAACAGTACAACACACAGCACACACACACACACGCACACACACACACACACACCCACACTCGCACACGACACACACACACACACACACACACGCACACACGCAACACACAACACACAACACAACACACACAACACACAACACACAACACACAACACACAACACACAACACACCCACACACCCACACAGACACACACACACACAACCCGCACTTGTTTCGTGGCTCCCATCCGCGCTGCCCATGTTCAGTACCTCTGGGCCCCGCCACCCTTAAAACGATCGTACTCTGCGTTACTCGCAGCTGCAACGGCTTTGTATTTTCGCCAGGCTCATTTTTGAGCGGGGGTGTTTGGTGGCACTTGTCTGTCGGAGGCCCTCGGGATGGTCAGGGGTCCTTGGGAGGGTTCCATGGGCATCTGGTGGGCTGCTGGAGATTGTGTCGGAGTTTCCAGACGTCCTCTTCGGAGGAGGAGGAAGATCCTTACGATGAAGCGCAGGGGAAAGCGCCAGGAAAGGACGGCTCCTGGAGCTTGGAGTCCCAATTGATGACGCTGCCGTGCACGACGAAGACCTCGGCGTCCCTGTTCCACTTGCTGGTGTAGACGCCTCGGGCTTCGCTCTCTCGCTCGCCCTGGGTTCTGCCAGAGACTTGCCAGGCGGCCGTCCTCCTCCTCCTCCTCCTCCTCCTCCTCCTCCTCCTGCTCCTTCTCCTCCTGCTCCTTCTCCTCCGCCTCCCACTGCGCTTCAGAGGGCTGTGCAGCACCCTCGCCCTGAAAGCTTGTCAAGGTGAGCCGCGCTCCTGCCGTGCTGACAGCGTCGGATTTCGGGAACCGTCTGCGAGCTCTGCGGTGCGGCGACTTGTCCCCGCATGTTGTCCGCCTGGGGTGTGATGCCCGCACCCGTCTCGGGCGAAGAAACTATCTCCGCCAGGCCTGCGACCCCTGTCGAGCTGGCAGGCACCATGCAGCTCGTTTTGAGCGTACCCAGAAAAAAGGGTCTCCTTCCAACGCTCGCAGGGGTTGCGGTGGGCACCGTTCCCACCGGAGGTAGAGTTCTGGCGAAGGACGCTGCTCGGCCTCTGTCCTTCTTCCCCACCCTCTGTGATGTTGGGCTCCAGTTTCGAATCCGCGGGGCCCCGCGTCACTTCTTCCTTCCTCCTGCTCCCGCTCCCCCCTATTCCCTTCCTTGCCTTTGCTCTTCGCATGACGGCATTCTCATCGTCATGATCGTTATCATTGTCATCATCATCATCATCATCATCATCATCATCATCATCATCATGCCCGAGCGGCTGCGTTCGCATAGCGTCCCCCCGTCCATTTCGTCACACCCCTCACAAGTTTTGTGGCACCATAGAGACCTCCACCGAAGGCCTCAACGGCAAAGTATCGCACGCGGTCCTGCCGCAAAATTCGGCACACCTCAAGAGGACGAGGACGAGGCCGGTGACGGATTGAGGGTGAGACTTTTAGGAGGATGCTGGTGAAACCAGGTCCGAGGAAGGAGGACGATTGGGGAGAACGACGGTGAGAGGTGGCAGGATGAGAAGGTTGATGATGATGATGATGATGATGATGATGATGATGATGATGATGATGATGATGATGATGATGATGATGATGATGATGATGATCAGGATGACGAGGGTCACGAGGCTCAGCAGAAGGGCGGGGGAAGAGGAGGAGGAGGAGGAGGAGGAAGAGGAGAAAACAGAGGACGGATGTGAGAGGGCCATGGAGGGAAGGAGGGAGGAAGCACGGAACGGGCAGAGGTCCAGGGATCGGAGTAGCGAAGGGTAGCAATGGGATAATCACTTTGATTTTTCTCCACATGTGATATGGACTTCCTCTTCGTGGCGGGGTGCAGCACGCTTGGGGGCGCACCTGCGCGCGTCCTCGAAACCACTGTGGATGAAGCTTAAACAACGGGCCCGTATGGACCGTCAAGAGGTCATGGTCTCGGATTTTTTCTCAGCGTTTCTGGAATTTCCCATCGCCACCGCTGGACGCAGGTCGAACATCTGGCAAGGGTGGACACACGGCGAGGGGAAGCTGAGCTGCACGCGGTCTGATTGGTATGAACCCTCTCCAAGACCTCTCTCATTCCCACCCATCCTGTGTGGGTCGGGTCCCCGCTTTGAATCAGCAGCGCCGCGCCCCACGTCCTGATCTCATCCGCCTTGCCTCCAGCCTCTGCGCTCCACATGCCCATGTCGGCACACCCTTCACTCGTCTCGCGGCCCTACAGGGGGGCTCCAGCTGCGGTTTCGATGGCCGCGACCGCATTGCGTACCCGCCTCCACTTCGGCGCACCCCTCACGCATTTCGTGGCCCCATGCGGAGCCCCACCGAAGGCCCAAGTGGGCGCGACGCGTACTGGCTCCCATTTCGGCACACCCATTACACTTTCCAGCGGTCTCATAGGAAGCCCCCTCGAGGCCTTCAGTGTCAAGACGTTGCATAGCACCCCCCGCCCCTTTCGGCACACGCCTCACACGCATCGCGGCCCCATACGGAGCCACACCGTTTGCCTCAATGGTATGGTCTTGCATGCCGTTCCCCTCGCCAATTCGGCACACCCCTAACACGTTTCGTGACCTCACAGGGAGCTCCGCCGAAAGCTTCACTGGCAAAATTTTGCATAACGTCTCCCTGGCCAATGTCGGCACACGCCTCACACACGTGTCGTGCCCCCACCGGGAGCTCCATCGAAGGCTTCAGTGGCAAAGTGTTGCGTAGCGTCTCCCTGGCCAATGTCGGCACACGCCTCACACACGTGTCGTGCCCCCACAAGGAGCTCCACCGAAGGGTCCACTGGCATAGTGTTGCATGGCGTCCCCCCGCCCATTTCGGCGCACTCCTCACGCGTTTCGTGTCCCCATCGCGGGCCCCACCGAAAGCCTCAGCGGCAGGGTTCGCATGGCGTCCCCCCGATCATTTTCGGCACGCCGCTCATGCGTTTCCCCATAGGGACCTCCACCGAAGGCCACAATGGCTGCGGTCGCATCGAGTCTTCTGCCAATTTCGGCACACCCCTAAGCCGCTTCGAAGGGGAAGGAACCGCAACGGGAACAGCGCGGCCCTTCGCGCGAACCCGCAAGGCCGCTCGCGCGAACGCCTTAGGAGAACAGCCAGGCCGGCAAGAGGAACACCCCCCCCACCGCTCACGCGAACAGCCCCCCACCGCTCACACGAACCACTGCCCCACGCCCTCGTCTTTGTCGTCGTCGTCGTTGTCGTCGGCGGCGTCCGCGAAACCGACCCGACGACGACAGACGACAATGCGCGCTCGGGCGTCGCGTGGCCCATGGCCACGGGGCTGCCAAGGCTGAATCCTCCTCGACACCGTGGCCCCACCGCTCGTGCCTCCCCGACCCCGGCGGCGCAAAACATATCGATCCCTGGACCCCTCGCTGTGCAGCTCCTCGCCCCGGATCGGCGACCCCGGGGGCCCCGAATGCAGGCTCCAGGGACCCGAAACACAGAAAGAACCTCCTGGCCTCGGAGCTTCCGAATCCTTCCCCGAACCTGTCCCGGACTCCAAACGCACCCGTTTTCTCCGAGCCGCGCCCACCCGTGGCGACGAGGGAGGACCCCATGGGAAGCCCCTCCCTGTGCAACTTCTCGCCCCGGGCCAGTTTCCAACGGCCCGGGGGCCCGGAAGCATTTTTTTTGTTACCTAACAGCGAAGACTGATAGGTTTCTACTGGTGTCAAAAGAGAGCATCATGACTCCTCAGGGGGGTCGGGGCGGGACCCGGGGCGGCTGCCGTCGAAGCCCAAATCGCTTGGGACATCCTCGCAAAATCGCTTTTGGCGCTGCTAGAACTCCATTCCCGGCGTACATTTTGGATGCCATGAGCCAACTGTAAGCCACTTCGTGGTCTTCGAGTTCCCAGAACTCCATTCCCGGGCCACATTTTGAATGCCCGGAGCCAACTGTAGGCCACTTCGTGCTCTTCGACTTCCCAGAACACCATTCCCGGGCCACATTTTGAATGCCCGGAGCCAACTGTAAGCCACTTCGTGCTCTTCGAGTTCCCAGAACTCCATTCCCGGGCCACATTTTGGATGCCCGGAGCCAACTGTAGGCCACTTCGTGTCTTCGAGTTCCCAGAACTCCATTCCCGGGCCACATTTTGAATGCCCGGAGCCAACTGTAGGCCACTTCGTGCTCTTCGAGTTCCCAGAACTCCATTCCCGGGCCACATTGCTGAAGGCTGCTGAGGCAGGCTGAGGCTGAGGCTGAGGCAGGCTGAGGCTGAGGCAGGCTGAGGCTGAGGCCGAGGCTGAGGGACTGAGGCTGAGGCTGAGGCTGAGGCTGAGAGCTGAGGCTGAGGCTGCAGGCTGAGAGGCTGAGGCTGAGGCTGAGGCTGAGGCTGCAGGCTGAGGCTGAGGCCGAGGCTGAAGGCAGACTGAGGCTGAGGCTGAGGCTGAGGCTGAGGCTGAGGCAGGCTGAGGCTGAGGCTGAGGCAGGCTGAGGCTGAGGCTGAGGCAGGCTGAGGCTGAGGCAGGCTGAGGCTGAGGCTGAGGCTGAGGCTGAGGCTGAGGATGAGGCAGGCTGAGGCAGACGCTGAGGCAGGCTGAGGCTGAGGCTGAGGCAGGCTGTGGCTGAGGCTGAGGCTGAGGCTGAAGCAGGCTGAGGCTGAGGCCGAGGCAGGCTGAGGCTGAGGCTGGCTGAGGCAGGCTGAGGCTGAGGCTGATGCAGGCTGAGGCTGAGGAAGGCTGAGGCTGAGGCTGAGGCTGTGGCTGGCTGAGGCTGAGGCTGAGGCTGAGGCAGGCTGAGGCAGAGGCTGAGGCAGGCTGATGCTGAGGCAGGCTGAGGCTGAGGCTGAGGCTGATGCAGGCTGAGGCTGAGGCAGGCTGAGGCTGAGGCCGAGGCTGAAGGCAGACTGAGGCTGAGGCTGAAGCAGGCTGAGGCTGAGGCCGAGGCAGGCTGATGCTGAGGCTGAGGCAGGCTGAGGCTGAGGCAGGCTGAGGCTGAGGCTGCAGGCTGAGGCTGAGGCTGAGGCAGGCTGAGGCTGAGGCTGAGGCAGGCTGATGCTGAGGCAGGCTGAGGCTGAGGCTGATGCAGGCTGAGGCTGAGGCAGGCTGAGGCTGAGGCCGAGGCTGAAGGCAGACTGAGGCTGAGGCTGAAGCAGGCTGAGGCTGAGGCTGAGGCAGGCTGAGGCTGAGGCTGAGGCAGGCTGATACTGAGGCAGGCTGAGGCTGAGGCTGTGACTGTGACTGCCGTTGCCACTGCGACTGTCATCGCGAATGCGACTGCGACTGCGAGAACAGGAGAATTCTACAACTGGATTCTCATCTGGATCTCAAGGGGAATGTTTCCATATATGCTTCTACACATCGCTGTTAGGTTGCTTTGCCGGGATATTACCTAACAGCTTGTTCTGATAGGTTTCTAGTGGTGTCAAAAGAGAGCAGCAGATGACTCCACAGGGGGGTCTGGGCGGGTGCCGGACAGGGTGCCGCAGAAGTCGTTTTAAGCCAACAGTCACACACTTCGTGCTCTTCGACCTCCCAGAACTCCATTCCCGGGCCACATTCTGAATGCCCGGAGCCAACTGTAGGCCACTTCGTGCTCTTCGACTTCCCAGAACTCCATTCC